AGGATTATGTACAAATTACTTTAAGAACAGAAGCGAAAGATAAATTATATTTTCATGTATTTCATCTTGCCAACCTGTTGCCCTTATGAAATTCAGGCCAGAAAAACAATGCTTGTAAGATTCCAGCTACTACGTATTACTTTTCTGCTGATGGAGGTCATTGACTGTCTTTGTATCTAACTTGTTTTCTTTGACGAAAGCCATTGGGTTTGCAGCCATTTTCCTTCTCTACATTAAGCCCAGGCCTATTTCTAACACATCCCTTTGAGGATGAAGAGGCATGACATCTGCATTTTACAGACATATCCACCTTCTCAATTCCACATTTCTAATGAGTAATTAGCACGTGATTATTAAAAAAGCTTCACAATAGGTCAAAAAGAGATCAAGAAGTGCCCATGTTAATTACAGAGGTTACATCTTCCTCAGGAGAGCATTAATGCATGAGGTAAGCCATACCAGCTCCCACACACATACACGAGGCATTAGCTTTTGCTGAATACTTATCATAACATCATATTAAAATACCAGATCAAGACAACTAAACTTTCAAATCATAATGGTATCATATGCTCACCTTTTTCACAGAAAAGTAATAGGAAAATTTTCTACTAAACACTAAGTATTGCCAGGAAATAGAATGTGACTACATTATAATTATTTCTACAGCTCTTGCATACCTTCTACTTTCCTCTTCATCAGCAGTACTAACTGGTTGCACAGTAATTGTTCCCACTTCCTGGGAAGCAAGTGTTGAATGGTGTAAAATCCTGAGCTAACATTGCATCATTGCTTAGGAGTTTATACAACCTGCTAATTCAGGTCTGGAACTGTAAGCCGATTTCTGTAAAGGTCTCAAATACTGCTATAAAAGCTTGTTTTCTCCCTCTTGGGATAATACCCATCTCCCTGAAACCTCTGGTACAACCAGAAACAGTGTTTCCATTCCTGTTAGGAAATGCTCTCAAGGAGTGAAGCTATCAACCGACTTGATCTGATACAGCCCAGTTCACTCAGCATGCTGCAAAAGGATTCCAAGAGTGGCAATGGTCTGATTTTCATGTTACTGATCTTACAGATGTTGTTATCATGGCAGCTTTTATGAAAGCCTTTTTGCCATTCTTCTACTAATTCTTGAGCTTAAATTTTGTAAATTGTCCAGTGTTGAATGCACAGTATTAGCAAAGTTAAACAAACAACTTTTTAATCTCTCCCACACTCCCTACCAGGCTCAGTGAAACTGATAGTTAAGTACTTGCACAGGACTACAATACAGCTTGCAAGCTTTTAGTAATGTTTACAAATGTTGCTATTATTTTGGAAGCTACACAAATTGCACATTACCATGCATCAACAACCAAACCACAAGTCATTAAAGCACAGAGCTTAGCCATGGATATTAAACCAGATCAGCTTGTCCACCCCATGTATCAAAACACAGGTAACACTTGCTTCCTTACCATTAAACCAACAGTCTGCACAAAATTGAGAGGGTTTTCTTCAACACCTTCACAAAATACAGTCACACTCCTAAAAGCCACTTGCCTGAAGAAGTTGCATGTAAATCACATAGCTGCTTTAACAATAATCTTGGTTTCATTACACCTGATGCAAATTTCACCGCTGCTGTCAGTAGAAACAGCATTTTCTACCCCTGAAACAAGGATCAGGTGAAAGAGAGTGGTGAGGCTGCCTTAATTTTTTCCATTTTCAACCAGAGATTTGGACATTAGTCATAGCTATAATTTCACCTCTTCATGTTTCTTGGGTTTTTGACAGATTTCAAATCAGTTGATTCAACTCTAAGTCCGGTTTAAAACGCTTATACAAGTTCCTGGCATTTGTACTTTTTGCCCACAAACAGACTGTGGGGAAAACACTCCAAGTATAAAACCAAAGCAAACTTCCTGGTGACTGTACACAAGCCTTACCTGCATCATGGTAACAACGTGACAAGGATTTAGGAGGTAAATGACAGTCCTGGTAGCAAACTTGAACCCCATCTCCAGCCCAAAGATGAGACACAGCACCACCAGCAGCACATTCTTGCCCAAGCTCTCCTGCTTAGTCTGGGGCCGCTGCAGCAGATGACCCTCCAGGTCCCTCAAGTGCAGCTGCCTGAGTTTCCAGAGGGACAGAAGGATCTCCACGATTCCCACACTGAGGAAGACCACACTCTCCAGAAGACGCTGCTGCCCAGAGAGAAAGGCCGCGCACTCTGGCCCCCCGTTACCAGCAAAGCTGGGGTCCACACCCCCATACATCCAGTCCAGGAGATTATGGAGGCTGTAACGAGACATGGTGGGATGGTGCCTCTTCTCCTCCCTAACACTGTCCAGGAACAGGTAGCAACAAGATGGAATCCAAGCCAAAATGCTGTCGGGCTGATGGACCGTGAAATGCAAGGACGGCCTCTGTGTAGTCCCCGTCCTCCCTCAGCTTCAGGAGAAACGGCTCAGCTCAGGGCGAGGCTCATTTTTGGCTCTTCCTTTCGGTATCAGGACACGACCCTCAAGCCTGCGAGAAGGGAGGAGCCACAGATGAATGGAGCCTAGGAGCAGCAGCGAAAGCCCCTGGCCTCAGCACCCGTTCCTCTTCCCGCCTGGCCGGCCCTGTCTGTCCGCCTCCTTCGCACTCCCGGCTCTCCCCTTCCCTCCGGACACCGCTATGAGCTGTCCCCCCTCAGCCCGCCCAACGGCTCTCCCGCGCTCCCCAACGGCCGCGGCTCGCGCCGCGCTGGGCCCCGTACCTCGCGGCGGGGGCGGGCACCGCTCCGTTAGGGTGCGCGGCGCGGCCCAGCGCCCCCAGCCATGGCGCCGGCCCCGGCGCGGGAAGGGAAGGAGGAGGAGGAGGAGGAGGAGGAGGAGGAAGCAGCAGCGCTCCCCTCAGCGGCGGCACGGCAGAGAGCACAGCCCTTGGCGGGCGGGCCGCTCCCCGCCGCCTCCCGCGGCTTTCCCGGCCCCTTCCCAACGTCGTAGCATCACCCCACCGACGTGCCTGACTCACACCGAAAAATGGACGAGCCCCCCCCGAATTGGCTGCGCCCGGCCGCCCGCTCCGCCCCGGCTGCTCCCGCCTCCCTCCGCGGCTGGCTGTACCTCAGCGGGCAGTGCTCGTCTCTCCCGCGCTCCCCGGCTTCCTTCTCCTCTTACCTCTGCCTTCACCCGCTGGCTCTCCTCACATGCAGCCACCCGCCCGGCTCCGCTCTGTGCCTCCTCCGGAGGGGAAGCCGAGGGCCCGGCACAGCTTCCCGCTGCTCCCCGGCCAGACCCGAGCCAGCAAGCGGCGTTAACTCGATGAACGAGTTCCTCAAGTGCCACCGCAGCGGGGGTTAGTCGGCCAAGAAACTGCGGCCATGAAAGGCCAAGCTTGAGAGGGGAGCGCAGCCCCGGCCGTTGCGCCGAGGTGATGTACTACTCTGTGATGTACTCTGTGGTGGTCTGCGAGCCTTCCGCAGTGGAGGCCTGGCTCCCGGTTTGTGGCTTCGTGAAGCAGCTGTAGTGCAAACACATAACTCTGTTCCCGTCTGAAAGGCAAAGGTAGGTGAAGAGCCAGAAAGTGCGTTAAAGGGGTGTTGTTGAGTTACTTAGAGCTAGGAATGGACACACCTGAGAGCTGGCTGCAGATTTTACTTCATATAACCTGCTCCTTGCTCCCCCCTCCTTGGCCGTGCCAGGGCTGCCCTTCACCCAGCAGCACTATGACAGCGTTGTTGCTGGCCAAAGCATTGAGCCTGTTTAATTGAAAAGAAAAGCTGTCTCACCCATAAGTTTTAAAAGACCAGGCAGATACGCCCACTGGCTGAGTGGAGGTGATTTCCATACACACAGAGAGGCAGCAACACCTGGTCTGTAAAGCTGGAAGCATTATGTGTGTGCCATCCTGCTGTGAAAGAAGTGACTCCTTTTGGGGGAAAGAAAGGGGACCCAGCAGGCTTTTCCAAGATTTGCAAGAGCTCCTTTCCATAATTAAAATTGATAAGAATTCCTCTAGAAAACGCTGTTTTCTCAGCCATTGTTGATTCATTAGAACACCTCTCATTCATTTTGATTATGCACAAACCTGCTGCAAAAAAAGGGAATATGAAGAAGATGGATGCACAAAACCTGAATAGGTGCAAATGCCTCCCCTGTTAACTGGACCTGCACATGCCTGCAGCACAGACTTGCTGTATTAACCTGCTTCACAGCCTGAACAATCAAACTAAGCAGCTCAGCACTAACACCAATATTTTGGCAGTTCTTTTCTTCCGCTATTTCCAATAGAGGATGCCAGTGAAGAATAACTGGCTGAGAGTGTGAAAGTGGGCAGTATTTTGCCCACAAAAAAAAGAACATTTGCAAAATGACAGCTTGCTGTCCATGGAAGAGGAAGGAAAAAGAACAGCTAAATAAAAACAGACGTCATGAAAGCTAAAGACTTAAGCAATTAATAGTTAAGATCTCATAGGAAGGAAGTCTAAAGAAAGGACTTAAGAAAAGGAACAGTGCTTTAGGAAAATAATTCAAAGGGCTCATTTATCCCAATTATGAGTAAAATAGAAATAGTAGTAAGGTTAGCTTGATAGCGGTGGAGCCAAAGAAATACAGCTTGATCAGTGTAATTAACTTGCATCCCTGAAAAGCTCCTGGGACAAATAATCTCACAAACTATTATTAGCAACCAAATGATAACCAGGGAATGACAGCAGTCAACATGGATCTGTCAAAAATAAATGACACCAGATAACTTGATTTTCCCCTCCATTAAGGAGCAGGCGTTGTGGATAACACAGAGCCTGTTGCCAGTTTAATATGGTTTTGACACTTTCATGACATTTTCATTTAAAAGTTAGAAATATGGTCTGGATAAATGCATTGTGAGGTCTATACAGAACTGACTGCATAGCAAGTAGTAGTTCACTGTCAAAAGGAAAGAATATATTGCTGGGTTCCTGCAGCCTGTCTTTAGTCTGGGTCTTTTTGTTATTAACAATATAAATAATGGAACAGAGGACATACTTATTAATTTTGCAGGTGATACGAAGCTGAGTGGGATGTATTTAAATTTTAAAATAGTCTTTTAAAAAACTGAAGAATATGTTCAGCAAGATGGAACATAGTTGAACACGTTATACTGTGGTAAGCCACCTGGTGTAAATCATCACTGCCTTTCCTCTTCCCCTTGCTACTCCTTTCCTCTCCCACTGCCTTCTGCCAGCATAAACTCTTCTGGGGCTCTGTGGTTGACTGTATGAGGAAGATGATTAACATACAGTTGTAATTCCAGAGGTAGCTGCAACCTGGAGCACTTTGCTGATCAATTCGATCCTGTTTTGGGTCATGGTGAGGGATGAGGTGACCTGCTGATTAATTGTTTTGCTGTGATTTTCCACTCATTAGAATGAAGGAGCATAGCTGATATAAACTGGACATCCTGGTGCGACTGATATTTCTTTGGAACAGCACAATGTTGTTAATTCATATTCAGGTTGAGATTCACTATAAATCCAAGAGATCTGGTTCTCTGATCTTGATCTGCTGGGTGTCTTAGGCACAGTTCCTCCATTCTCTGTTCCAGTTTCTTCCTCTTCTTTGAAAAGTACTCTGTAATCTGTGAATGAGAATTTAGTGTTTTTGACTGAACACAAAGCCATTGCTCTTTTCTGTTTGTTAACCATTTCCTCTTATCCTTTCACTAAGTAATTTAGGCTCTAAGACCCATTGTAAACAAATATATCTCCTATGTCAATAGAAATAGTTCCCTAAAAGCAATAAATTCCTGTAACTAAAATGCTTGCACAAAAGCCTCAGGCTTGTTCTTGTATCTAACATGAGATTTATTTTTCTGTCTGTGGCTTCTGGAAATACAAAATGTAAAAAAAAAGTGAAACTAATGTTAATCTGTGAAGAAATGCCAGGGCCTTGAGTGTGCCAGTAGGCCTTAACCACCCGAGCAGCCTTGTGTGGGGCTCCTACTCACAGCCCATCTGCCTGGGAGCTCCATGGCTCTGGACCAGTTCTCACCCAAGCCTTGACACAACTGGAGCCATAAAGCCAGACTGGCACACTCACGGCCCTGCCATTTCTTCATGGGTTAACACTGAATTTCACCTTTTTACATATATAGGAAACAGTCTTCCAACAGGGTGGCTAAGAAATGCTGTTGAGCATAACTAAAGAAGACTTGAAAAGAGAACATGAAAATTTGCCGTTTTGCTGCTCTTGAACATGACTGGAGGAATTCCACTGCAACAGGTAACTCCAGGTTCCGACTGGTGGCTATTATTAGCAAAGACTGCCTGAAGTGATTCAGATTATCACAAAAGCTGCAACTACACGTGCTGTAGGTGTGAGCACACCCTTGTGGCTAATACATAATGACTCAAACTTGCCCAACCTTAAGGTGAATCTAACCTACAGTCAACACCCCAGCCTAGGGAATGTCTAACACTAGCCACATGGACATATGTGATTCCAGCTTCTCAACATGACTGGCTTTGGTTAAGTGCTGATCACTTGTTTTGTTTTATTGAGCATGAACATGGGAAATCATGAGGTTTGAGTTCCATTTTTAAACAATCTTCTTGTACTTCAGTGACAGTGCAGGAGAACATTAAAAGTAGTCTTCAAAACTGTTTAGGTTAGGAAAAACATCTAATCCTCAATATTTCCTTCACTGGTAGTTTTGATAAAGGTAACATGCTCAAAAGGAGCAGGAATGAGAAGAAATACCAGTGCTCTCCCTCCTAGGGCACAAGAAGATGCCTCCCAGCCAATCAGCAAGGTGGTATCTCTCTTCTTGCCTGCTGATATCAACAAGTGAAATAATCAAGAGCTAGTGGTTATATTGTCATTGATCCCTAGAGCAAATGTGTCTCTCCCCCCAAAAGAAGATAGATATTATTATTATTAGATATTATATTATTATTAGGTTGGAACTAGATGATCTTAAGGTCCTTTCCAACTCTATCTATTCTATGATTCCGTTATACTTTTTCATGTTGAATTACCACCAGTTCATATTTTGAAAACTATATTTGCTTATTTGTTTTTTCCTTGCTACAAATCTCTGTTCACAGAGATTCTTCCATCGGTTGTTCTGACTCCCTTCTGTTTAGTCAGATGTTCACATGTATTTTTATTAATTTAAAGAAAGCCTGTGGTAGTGTAATTGCTGATTTCCTCTCAAGGAATTTTCTTGAGAGCAAGATGAAAAGCTGTTGCATTTGTCATATCTCTCCCTGTCAGATAATTTTGCTAGAACATACACTAGACAATACTGGAAAAAAAGGTAAACATCAGTGTGAAGCATTCAAACTAGAAGCTTTAAAAGCATCTCACCCTTTCATGGGTTTTAATCTGATGGACTGAAAAATAATTATATAAAGAACCAACAGAAACTTGTTAGGTGACAACTGTGTGAACCAGCTTGTTGTTGAATCACATTTCTGTCATGTTTGCAGTATTTGACTTATTTTTCCCTTACATAAGAAGCTGCAGTATTAATAGACACAAAACAGTTGGGTGTAAAACCAGGGAGAAATAAATATCATGAATGTGTGAGTTTTGCTTTGAGAGAAAGAAATCATTGTCAACAGCTCATCTGCATATCAGTTAATTAGCTTCAACCCATGTTGAAGTTAATAGGCCAAGCAGGACTGTCAGTAACTGTAACACAGGTTGAGGATGCATCTAAGAAATGGTGATGTGTTTCATTTTAGGTTCATATGTTAGATGAGTAAAGGCATTCTCTGAGGTTATTTGGAGCTTGGGGAAAAATATTTTTGTTGAGATTAGTGTAAGAAAAAAGGATCTGCTATAAAACACTTAAAATATGTCCTTCAGAAAATGAAAGTGCCCATCCAGATGTTATTTATGTGTTGCTCTTAAGCTTGAAGTATCTTGAGAATTAACAGAAAGATAACTGCTCTTTTCATACATTGGTAACTAAACGTTAGTTTGAAGTGCTCAGTGATGTTCATTCCCTTTTGTGTTTGCATCCTCTATTGTTTAGCCCTCTTTCAGTTTTCAAGGCATTTGCTTTGTTTCATGTCCAGCACTAGGACCATAATATTGCAAAGTCTAATGAAAAGCATTTCACAAAGAACCACCCAAAGTTTTTTTTCTTGGAAGCTCAGCCTGAACAGCACTTTTCCCACTGTTGCCTTCCAAGCCAAAATACTATATTAATAAAATGCACATTTGTAGATGCTTACATGCACAATGCAATAAATCTCCTAACAACACTTGGCTAGTCTTTCATTGAACCACATCCAAGTGGGAAGTGATCCCTGAAGTATCTATGGCTAGACTGTAAAATACTTCTCATGCTGATGTCTCAGAAAAATCAGTGAAGTCAATGAATGAAATCACTGATGAATTTGCCATTATTAGTTTTACAAGAATTGTTAGCGTGGTTCATGTTTGTTAGAGGCAATTTTAGCTATGATTGCTATACGTAGGAGGTGTGTGATTCTATAAATCTACACAGATATGCAAGGAGAAGAATCTGTGCTTCCTGTTTTTGTTCTATTTTGCTGTAGTTTATTGGGCACATTGACATCCATGAAGACTTACCAAAAACCCTGTTAAGACTCCGTTTGGTTTTAAAAACTGAAATCTAACTTCTGATTATAATACATGGTCTTTACTTATAAATCTCAGCCTGAGAGGTTCTGAACACTGGTGTCTTCCCTAAACTTCTGTGTGGAATTTGCCTTTATTATTACTACCACAGTGATGCTGGGTGTTCAAAATCAGGGGATTGCTATTTTTAGCATAATGTAAACCAAATGTAATTCTGGTCTCAGAAACAAAACAAAAGGCAGGAAGGAGAACTCTAACGTGATGTAATCTCTGGTTAAATAAGTTGTATGAAATTTGTACAATTCCATTCTATCATGGAATAGTATGTGATCAGGTCTATTACATCATATTGTGTTGTCACTGTGTATTTTTATGTCTTGTGATGCTCAGGGAAGGAGGCATGCAATACCTCAGCTTTTACAAGGATGCCTGATTAGGCACTGTACATATTTAGCAAAGCTTTCTGAGCCATCCGTGGGTTCTGTTAGACCTTCCTGTCATTTATTAGCTTACATAGGTATCAGTCACACATTTTAACAATTCTGCTGAATATAATACATAAAAATAGGTGCTGTAAAATACCAAAAGGCAGCTCTTATACCCTTGTTGTTAGGAGAAGGGGGAAAAAAACGCCTGTTTCATTCAGAAGAGAGGAGTGCGAGTATGTAAGAACAACTCTACAGAACTCTACAGACACCAAGACACACAAGGCATGAACTGCAGGAGGGGAGGAGATGCTCCAGGTATTGGCGCAGAGATTACGTGCAGCCCATGCAGAGACATATCTCTGGAGTTCATTTTAAGAAGTTACTGAGGAAAAATGGGTATACTCACATGTTTTCTGTGCGAGTTCGTGCATTTCATGAAGTGTGGGAGCCTCACGCAAGACAGAGGTCACGTTTAAGTTGTTACTGGAAGGTTTAGTTAACCGCGTTGTTAAAGCCACTGCATGGAATAACGAGCCCTCTAGTGGTTGTTCACCTCCCAAATTCTCACTCTAATGCTCCATTAACGAATACCTTTCTTTTCCAGTAGCAGCACAATTTGTGCTGTTTTACCTCTTGGGGATGTTGTTAACACTACTTTTCTACACATAGGAAATGAAATAGTAAGAATTGATCTAGTTCTGTTGTAATGATATATGACACACCTGCATGATACATGAGACTCTTCTATATGGGAGTTTTACTTTAAAGACCAAGACTGCATGCCTGTGTCTGCATGAGGTATGATGACAGGGCTTCTGCTCACTGAAGGTTTGGCAGGTACCTAGGTTGAATACCTCATACATCAATAGAACATAGAATGTATGGAAAAGGTGCCAAAAGAAGGCAGGAATTGTGTTCTCTCCTGTTTGAGTTGGAAGAGGGAAATAGGCTTTACAGTCCTCTAATGAGCTGGGGTGGGAAGGAACCAGCTCTGAGCTGCAGCAGTCACCAGACTGAATTGTAGTGATAAATAACTTCAGTTTTCCTGAAATGCATTTTTTGTAATGAGTTGATGTATGAGGGTTGGTTTGGTTTGGTTTTGTTGCTTAAGCCAATGTAATGCACAGTGTTTGAAGGAAATAAATATGCATCTTATGCAGATTTCATCTCTGCTCATGTTCTTACCTCAGGATTCAGATGAATCCTGTAGTCGACAGCTCCTTTATTGCTGTTGCAGCATTTGGATGCTGACTGAGAGCTTTCAGTCACAGAACAGGGGAGGCAAAGGATTTTTTCAGGTCTGTGATTTCCAGATAGCTCAGCCACTTTTAATCTCTTTCATAAGTCTTAGACATATTTACCACAGAGCTCTCTAAATTTACCAGGTTTATGTACATGTGAGCATTTTAACAGCTTGGCTGGTGGTTCGCATCATGCTTCAGAGGGAGCTGCTTTTTGTTTACCCCCTGGCTGGTTGCTGGGAAGCGTTTTTCCACAGTCTCAGCCTTCACACAGTCTTTTCCTGCCTGGACAGGGGGTCATGGCTGTGGGCCTCAGCACAGGTCATTTACCAGCAGACCACGTGGGACTCGGGAACAGATTTTTTCCATTGAGAAACTGTGACTTATGTTGAAAAGAGGTACCCAAATAATTTACTTAAAGCCTTCTTTACTACAAACAGAGAGAAGGGGTAAGCAGAAACTGTAGGGTGGATGCACAGCCCAAGTGAGAGGCCACATCTCTGGAAACGTAAAATGGAAAACTTTCCCCAGTGAAGAGGAAAGGTGGCTCAGCAGGTGGCAGCACACGGCCTGCTTGGGCTTAGCCTGGCTTCCACCTCTAGGGAAAAGCTAGGCATCCGGTCCTGTCCGGGTTCCTGCTTTTAAACAGATCCCCTTTCCTTCCTTTGAAGCAGGAGGTGTTTAGCAACGCAATGGAAAGTATCAGTGCCATTGGTCACTGCCATACGACAAACACAGAGTGGTTTGGGGGAAGATCATTTGGAGAAAAAACAGTAAAGGATGGAAGCAGCACAGCTCACTAGCAGTTAACTTGGGCTAGAGCTTGCTGCATAGATACAAGTGTCAGTAGAATGTCAAAGTAAACAGTAAATCTCATTCTTGATAATCCTGTTGAGTTCTGCTACACAGACACCTAGCTGTGCCTGCCTATTAGGGGAAGCAAAGGCTTCCATGATGGGGTTTTGGATGTTGAATGGCCTGAGCAATCTGAACTACTTTGGCTACACCATGAGGAGTAGAGTGCAGTGGTCTAATGCCTCTAGAACAGGGGATTTTTGAATTCTAAATCGGATTCTAAAACGTAATTCCCAGGCGCTTCTTTCCTCTCCTCCCTGATCCTTAAAGGGGTGGGTATTAGGGGAAGGGTGAGGGTTCACAGGTTCTTTGTAAATGGGGTACTTTGCTTTGAAATACCTTGAACGAGATTTCTCAGCAAGTAACTCACCAGCTGCAGCATCGCACCCATTCTGCCTCCAGACAGGCCTAAAAACCTCGATGTTGTCATTGCATATTGCACATCCCCGTTCAGTTTCCTCACCTAGCCCATGGGGAAAGAAAGCAGGAATCCTTCTGGGAATATGCTGATCGTGAGATGAAAACTTGGCAGCATTTATTTATGATTACTTTGAGTTAGTGGCAGGTATTTTAATCTCACTCTGTTGAAACCATTGATTTGTTCATTTGCCTGAATTGCACATTTCGTTATTTGGCTAAAGTATCAACTAACACCCAGGGGAATGTCTTAGAGCTACAGACGGGGGAGATTATTGGGCTTAATTGGTATTACTGCTGTAGAGCTCCCGTGGTGCCAGAATAGGGCTTGCTTACTTTAAACTTTTAAATCCAGTATTAAGAGGAATTGCCATCAAGTTACACCATAGAAAAATAATTAGTCCAAAGTTAAACCCTGTGTCGTAGTCTAAAACTCTTTAAGCCTCCTGTTCATCACAAATCCTCTACCATTTCTCCTGAACTCCCTTATGTTTGTGCCAACACTTTTTGGAGCATGCGGGCCAGGCTTGTGCCCCGTGTAGTTCCAGAGAAGCCAGTAGGGTCAGAATATTAGAAGATACTGTAGGTGGATTTTGGCAATCCAAAATGCTTGATCAATAGTACTTAAGACAAAAAGCCACAGTGCTGTTTGTAGCCTTGATAATCAGGAGATAAGCAAGACAAAGTTTGTGAAGAGAAACGTCTCTTGTTAGGCCCGGTGCTGTAGTTGGAGGAAGTCATGAAAATAATGTTCTAAAGCTTGGTAAGAGATGGAATTGCTCAGGCTGTTTGTCTGGTGAATATAATGCACCTTTTGTTACCCTGCCTATTTTTGCACTACCTTCTCATTTTCTCAAGCTGCTACAAGGCTGTTATCTGAAGATGCTTCTATTGTATATTAATGAAGAAGTTAAATTATCTAGGCAGCACAGGCTAAAGCTGAAACTCCGCAGCATCATGTTTCTTAACTATCATTGTCCAGTAAGAAAATAGGTCTGTAAGTGATACTATTCATCTGAATGAGAGGAAACTGTGACTGGTGTTTGTCAGCTGTGTGTAACACTGATACCTGAACTGGCCTTGGAGCCAGGTACCATCACAGATAATGTGGTGGTGTCTGCTTTCGGGCAGGTTTGAATCCTGAGGACTAGACCAGCAGGAGCAGAGAACACCTCAGAGTGCAGCCATTGCCTGCCCCAACACCAGTGTCTGCAAATAGTCAGAACTAAGTTTCATTCACAAGCATTTACTTCTCCTGTAACTGCTACAACAGTAACATTTATTTTTTGCCAACAATTTGCATATCCAGTGTCATGTGAATAAATTACAGAATCAATGACAGGAAACGACTTATAACAGAACTACCGACAGAAATGAAAGCAGAGTCATAGAAATATTGTGTAAATGAAGCATGTTCTATTAATAATTCTTGCATACATGACGTTGATAGAACCCCCAAGGAACAACATATACGAGTAGGTAGCAGCTACTGATAGGACAAACTGATTGTGTAAGTGGAATTCTCTTCTGTTTCAGCAGCGAAAGGGAAGTCAATGTTACAAGTGTGAGCATTTAAAACTGTCACAGTTTTGTTAACTGCCACAGTTGTAAAGATTGAAACTGACCTGGTCTCTTCACTAAAAGTGCTTTCACCTTCACATCGGAGTGCTGAGTCAAATCCTTGATCTCATGGGAAGTACTTTTTGAGGTAAGAATCCAAACAGCTTTCTGAAAGACACTTCTCATCTTTGTGTTCCAATTCCCTTTTTGTCATGGAGAGACATTTTCTGTATCACAAATGGTTATGAATGGAAACAGATTAATTTAGACCCAAAGATGTTGACAATGAAGTTACTATGCAAAGGAAATGTTGATGTGTTAGCTGAAAAATGCTACTGAGATCCTAGGAAATTCTTACTCCGGCATCTTTGTCCATGTCAGCAAGAGCCTGTATAGACATACGTAGATGGGAAAGATAAAAGTGTACATGGGGAACGTTTCGTGGGTGATTTCTAAAGGGTCTGAAAGAGGTGACCAAGGAATTAAAAACACACATTTATTACACTGTTCTGTGTAACAGGTGAAACTGCTGAGGGGGTCTATACCACCGCTGCAAACTGTCCATACATAACATTTTAAAAGGCTCTTCTCCTGGAATTTGTGCTCTTTTTTCAATAGGCCACAGTGCTATGGAAGTGATTCTGTTAGACTGATGGGAAAGAATCCAGTGATCAGTCAGCCTCTGGAGAAAGAGGTTGTGCTAGAAAAGACAAGATAACAACTGAAACTTCTGCTGCAAAGACAGAATTAAAGTAACATACTGTGAATTCCAGCAAACCCTGACATTCTGACAAGCTGGGTAAATGAGATTCTCATTGGTGCTCCATCTCATAAATCATGTCAGGAAGGATGGAAGCTGCAAGACTGTCTTGTAAGGACTCCCTTACAAGTTCAGGAGCAAGCTGAAGCAGAGCTGCTGGAGCATGTCAGGGCAGACTGGCAGCTTGCTGTAATGTGGAATACTTTAAGACTGGAAGACTACCTACTCACGTTAAAGCATATAAAATACTTCTGTCCTTGGGCTGGAGTTCTGTGTTGAGGCTCCATAATTTTGCCTTCTGGACCCAACGGTCTCTGAAACAAAAAGAGAGTGTATTTGATAAAACTAGGATCAGTTTGTACCGATTCTTACAGAGATCTATAATCATAGAAACAGATGTTCTAAGGGTCATTTACAGTTTATTTAAAGAAATCCCATGAGGCAGTTCAAAATAATAAGACTTTCTAAGACTTGCATAAATAGATTGCCAATTTATCAGCAAATAATTATCAGAAATTTCTTAGATGTGATTTTACACGAGTAAGTACAGAAAAGAGCTCACAGTCTGTCAGTGCTAAGAACTAATAGTTGATTTATGGTTTTTGCTCTAAGGAATGAAACAAGGAAACACATCATTTAATCTTTGTGCAATAGGTAAATTTTTCCATAGGAAGCCAGTTACTCTAACATGAGTAAGTATTCCTTCATGCTCCAGAACATGTTTTGGACCAACATTGTGTCTGTCCTTCATGCAAATCTCCTGATGCATATCTGCCTCCAAAACTTACAGGAATGACTACAAACAGAGAAGCAATAAGTTGAGGCATTCTAATCTTACCAACATTACTTCTCACATTACAAAGACAGGAGTACATGCACATGCAGCTGCTGCCTGGGAGCACAATGTGTACGGGAGCACAGCAGAGGATGTTGTATATACTTGCCTGTTCCACATTCCTCAGGGATGGACTCCAAGTGACAGCCAGCCCACAGACATACATGTGTTATTTTTCTAATCATAGCTTCATAAAGATTGACCTGAGATAACAAACTGGAACAAAGGTAACACAAACAAGTTATTTATTGTAGGTTTTGCTATCTGCGTTCTAAATAAAAGAGAATTAATTGTGGAAAAAATGATCAGCCAGAAAGCTGGCCTTGCTGTTTCTGTCAGGACAATCCTCAGCCATGGCATATGTAAATAGAAAGACCATTGAGGTCAAGGTCCTCACTGCATTTTAGTCTTCACTCTAATGATTTCCCCAAATTGTTTCAGAGCTCTGGACTCTGCACAGATCTGAGCAGGTGATGAGTGTGATGTTTTTACAGAACGCAAGTGTTATGCCTGCAAGCAGGTCCGTGTTTCTCTTCCATGTGTGGAACACGGCTTAAAACAAAGATTCAATTACATGATGCAAGTCTCTGTTCAGCGCTCGCAAGCTGCTGTGCATTTTTCTACATGACAGCTCAGAATGAGAAGTCATGTTTGTGTAGATCAGGGCAACAACCTTCATTAAAGGTGTTTGTTCAGAAGGCCTATCAAAAGTAGCCTGTGCTTTCTCCCTGCATCTTCCCCCCAAAGGCCCAGTGCGTTGCTGTAGATGCTGGATGTGAGAAAAGACTGTTTTATCCTGTATGTAAAATACAGGTTATAAACAGGTTTGCAGACAATTTTCCAATGTGGTTTCATGTAGAAGAGTAAGGAGGAAATGAATGAGCTTGAACATCAAAGAACCTACAAATTTGTATATCTGGAAGTAGGTCCCTTCCCTTAAAACCTTGCCCTTTATTCAACTGCCCTCCCCTCAATTCCCCCCCCCCCCCCACCTCCCCCCACTTGAAATTCCTCCTTGAAATGCACTTCTTTAGAGAGTTCAATAATCCTTTGTGTCACCAAATGTGTATGTCTGACTGTTAGGTTGGGTTTATTGCATTTCCTTTTAAAACACGAGAGTCAGTTTAAAAGGATCTAGAGTGAACAAAAGTGCATTACTCCTGATGAGCAGAGTTAAGGAATGAGGAGGTGTAAGATGCGTCAGCTTTTTTGTTATGATGTGCTCTAAGTTCAATTGAGAAGTAGCAGAAATATGATTAAAAACCAAAATAGGAACACATGAAAACTTTCCCAGCCTGAGCAAAACTGGTTTTGGAGAGTGCTTGCTACAGAATGGCCAAGTTTATGCCCAAAACTTGTTTTCTGTTGTTTTAATTCTAACTGTCCATTCTGTGAAGAAACAGGATTGCATCAAAGAAATGGCTGAATTCAGCAGTCACTGCTCCTAATATAAACAAACAACCCACAAGGCTTCAAATCTTGATTTACTACTTAGATTAGAAGGGTTAAGATTATGCAATCCCTTTGCTGATACCAGGATTGAGGTGAGAAGCTGTTGACTATTTCCAAGTTTGCCCTGAATCGTGGGTGAGAATCGGAGACTTTCCAGCTTGGCTTTAATCTCTCCTCAGCATACCCTTCTCTTCCTTCTCCTTGACCTCTGGGATAAGGATGAAATCAGCATCAGTACCAAACAGTTGCGCTGCCTGGGGAGATCTTTATACAGGTCACATTCCATAAGAGGTTATTGCTGGGTTCTTCTTACTGGAAAGATACACAGCAGTTGCAACACGAATCCTTTTAGTCAGCTGTGGGTTTAAAGCCCGTGTGACACACTGTGATATAAAGGCAGTGTGAATTTCTGTTTGTGAACTCCTAAAATGTTTGCAAAGGCGTTTCAGACATCTTGCAGTGAATGTAAGCTTCCTGACAGCAGGCGTGCTTTTCTTAGCTACCTGTTTTGAAGCCCTTGAAGTATTCCACTTCCCTCAGGGTATTGCTAGTTGACCACGGCTTCATTTACAGAGACCAAGTAAATCTGTTTCTGCTTTGTTTTCAAAAAAGAATGTTTGAAAGCAGTCAAAGAGCAAGTTTAAATGCAACTATGACAAGTAAAAACTGCTGCATCAGTTGTCCTGCTTAACTCAGTCAGGCATTAGCATACCTGTGGCTATAGGAAAGGTTTCCCATGGAGCTGGGTCTAAAACCTCCACAGAACAAGGTAGATTTGATTCTTCTCTTGGATATCCTGTCTGACATAAGGTTAATTTTAGTATAGAATCATAGAATCATAGAATCATAGAACCATAGAATCATAGAATAGTTAGGGTTGGAAAGGACATTCAGATCATCCAGTTCCAACCCCCCTGCCATGGGCAGGGACACCTCACACTAAACCATCTCACCCAAGGCTTCGTCCAACCTGGCCTTGAACACTGCCAGGGATGGAGCATTCACAACCTCCCTGGGCAACCCATTCCAGTGCCTCACCATCCTAACAGGAAAGAATTTCCTCCTTATATCCAATCTAAACTTCCCCTGTTTAAGTTTTAACCCGTTACCCCTTGTCCTGTCACTACAGTGTCACTACAGTACCCATTATCCTAACTATAACCCAACAGGTTCTGTTTTTCCTTAGATTGCAAATAACCAGTATTTGTCTCCAACTTTGCTAAAATCATTGATTTGACTTAGATGTTCAGCCTTCTGAAACAAAGCAAGCATTTTGTGGAGTACTTCTGGCAATGCCTCTGAACCTGGATGTCATTCAGTGGTGCTCAGGTTGGGGACATGAGCGGATGAACCCCGTAGGCACCGGGATTCCGCAGTGAGCTCTTGCCATGGCGCACAAGGCCACAAGAGGCTGATGAGGACATCCCATGGCTGGTGAGGTCTACAGTAGGGAGGACATTAAGGACGAGGTGAGGGAAGAGTCGCACTCGGCAGGAGTGCAGAACCTTGAGCACTTGAAATCCATGTGGGAGCAAGAATGTGTAGTCTGAGGTACAGAGATGGAAGCTCCAACTTAAATTTGTTGGAGGTGCTCTGAAACTGCACCTGGAAAACATTAGACTTGTCAGCCTGGAAGAGGGATGAATGAGGTAGTACTGCAAGGAATCTGTGATAGCAATCTGTAAACCAGGGAGTGGTGTGGAGACAGCTAGGAGAAAATGGTAATTCATGGTTAATTAACACAAAAGTGAAGGGACAACAAATGGAACTACCAGACAGGAGGCTCAGAAGGGATTTTCACGTGGCATAATGTTAAACCATGGAACTACATCAAGCTGCAGATGCCAGTTTGTATGGGTTAAGAAAGCAATCGGGTTTGTCTTCCGTTAATTTCCCTGTGAAGAGCAGAAATAGACTGCTCCTAGCCAAGAGTCTCTGAGCTGCCCAAGTCGTCACCTTCCCAGGAGCTGACCAGCCACCGCTGGCAACAGCACACTGTGGGAACTTGGTCCTGTTCCTTGTCCACTGTGGCCATTCCAGCACCGCAGTGAACACGCCAGGGTACAGCATGGTGGACCCAAACTCAGCTAATTCAACATTGAAGATTATAGGAGGTACAAAAGAGGTGGAACAAATTACAAATCTATTCTCTTCCCTATTTACTGTTTAAGATGAAAACAGACAGAAAGATGAAAAAGGGCTCACGTGTCTGTTTTAGTAGGGAAAAAATGTGTAGCATTTGTTTACCTAAATACAGGCAGGTGAAATCAAAAGAATAGTTAATCTGCATAACCCAGACGTGCCTTTAGGCATCTTGCACAATCCAGGCCCTCTCATTAGTGCTGACTGACGCTGAGCAAAACAACAGGGTTTGAAACAAATTAGAACAAAGTGAAAGTAATAACGGAGCACCCTAAAATTCATATAGCCCAGACCAGGCAGTGATTCCATGCGGGTTCCATCCGAGGAAGCGATGCACCTTGTGGTTCTCTGTGAAAGAGGGCGATTACATACAGCATCCCCATTGCTTCTGCAGTTGTTGCCAGACTATTGTAGCCTCCTGCAAGGTGTTGTCTTTCATCGGAGCAAACTCCTGTTACCAAATATAGCTGTGGCTTGGTTTGTAATGTTGTTGTTTTCACACTGTCCCACTCCATATGGCGTGGGGGAGGATTGTGCTGGACTTGTGCACGGCAGAGATGGAGCAGGAAGCGTTTCCTCTGCCTTTACATGGCGTTAGGGCCGTGCGCCTTGTCAAAAGCTGATTATTTTGTGCTCATTCTCTTCCCAAGAAGCCTGAACATGTAAAACCATGTGGCAAACTCCTGCATGAATCACAGGGATATTTGTGGCCTCTGGCTTTCTGAACCGCACTGTGAGTAATCCTGGTTGCTCTCATCGGTGCTCCTGATGAAACCCACTGCGTACGCTCTGAGTAAAGGCCGTCGGAGCCTCCAGCTCACCTCAGTGTCCTAAAGGAGGCAAAGATGGGTGTGAAACCTGCCTGAGAGACCTGGGCCCCTTTGAGCTGTGGGCAGGAGTTGGTGTTCACCGTGACCCACAGATCAGGAGTGGCCAATGGGGCCCTGGGGCAGAGCCTGGACCGTGCCCAGTCACACACACAGACACACATGCACACAGACACACGCGCACACACACACACATATACTCACACTCACACACAGACACGCACCCCCCCCCACACACACACTCTCACACACACACACTCACACACACACACCCCACACACACTCACACACACCCCTCCACACCCACACTCACACCCACACCCACCCACACACACCCCCACTCACACACACACACACTCACACACACACCCACACACACACCCACCCCCCCCCCCCCCACACCCCCACACTCACACACACACACACTCACACACACACGCACACACACATACACACCCACACCCCACACACACTCACACCCCCCCACACACACTCAGCCCCCTGCCCACACATACACCCACACTCACACACACCCACACTCACAGTCACACTCACTCACACCCACACAAACACACCCACACCCCCCCCCCCACACACACACACTCACACTCACTCACTCTCACTCTCACACACACACACACACTCACACACACACACACACTCACACACACACACACACCCACACACACACACTCACACACACACACACACTCACACACACACACACACCCACACACACACACTCACACACACACACACACTCACACACACGCACACCCACTCACACTCACTCACTCACACTCACACTCACTCTCACACACACACACATGCTCGCACACGGCCGGGCCCGCCCCCTCCCCAAGTCCGTCAGAGGGGCTGCGGCGGGGATTGGCCGGTGGCGGGGTCTGGCCCCGCCCCGCTCCCCCCCGCGCCTCAGCCATTTTAGCAGCCGGGCCCGCCGCGGGCTGCGTTCTCCGCGGGCAGCACCGGGACTTGCGGTCGGGCCGGGCCGGGCCGGGTGAGCGCGGTAACGGCCGGGGAGGGCGGCGAGGGGCGGGGTTCTCCGTTCGGGGGCGGGACGGAGCGAGGCAGGTCCCGGCGTTGCCCGTCGGCAGCACCTGAGGGGAGCGGGGCGCGGGGCTGGCGTTCCCCTCCGGGCCATCCTCCGCCCCCGCCGGGGGTGGGACGCGGCCGCAGCCCGCCCGGGCGGAGGCGGCCGGGTCAGCCGAGGGGAGCAGCGGGAGGTTACGTGGGGTCAGGGCTCTCCCAGGCTCCCGCAGCCGCGGGCTGCAGACGCGCCCGGGCCCGGCACCGGGCGGGGGATGGCACCGGCGGTTGCCCGGGAGCGGGTGCTGGGAGCGCGGGGCGCCTCCGGCCGCGGCCCTCGCGGTGCTCCCCGCGCGCCTCCCCGGAGCTGCCTCCGGTTGCTGCTCCCCGCCTGTCCCGGGGCCCGCCCGCCCGCTGCTTCCCGGGAGCCCGGCGCGCCGGCAGCGCCATAGC